GTGACATAAACTATAATGCAGAAGATGTTTCTAAGTTTATCACAAACGGTGATATTTGCAAACAAAACAATATTATGATGATATAAATCATAAAAACGCTTCCACGCTACTCGAATGTAAATCACAATTATCGTTCATAGCAGCACGGCTTGTGTGAGGCACGTAATGAATTAGAGGTAAAACTTTGCTCAGTAACAAGCAGGATAAAGTTTCTCGATCAACTTAGAGGGAATACGAAGAGACTGAAGGATTTAGTCATGGGAAGTTGAATGATTTCAACGATTTCGGATTGTCGATCCCAGAATAAGCGTTCAAAAATTTNTAACATAATGAGGAATATCATTCCGGGTTTATCATAACCAATTGGAATATACACAAGCTCGTAATATAATCAACCGGCTGCAAATAAGAAATTGAGACCAAACATAGTATCGAAACACCGGGATAAACTATGAGGAAATACCGACAGCATAAGACCAAGAAATGGATGAAGCGTTAACGGTTTATAATAAAAATATGTAACTGAGGGGAAAGAATCGACTGAATCACATGAAGAGGAATTGAGCTATTTTGGACTGAAATCGTCAAATTTAGCTATGTTGATCCAAAATTTGCAGTTCATTGAACACTTAAGAAAAAACCAGCCAGTTAATAGTTGTGGCACGCCAACTCATTTACTTGTATTTACCAAACAAACGACTTCAATTCTCAACAATTCAAAAGACACGAGCCTGATAATCCTTATATGCCTAATAACTCCGGAATTGTATCAATTATCTACAAATCTGATCAAGAATTTTGCCAACTTAAGAAAATCAGTTGCCAAACGAAGATTTTCAGTGGGTAATATCATGCGTAAACTAGTCTGGGGATGGAGTTCGAGAAGAAGACGAGACGAGAACGAATAAATTTATTGAATTATTGCATTCAAATCATTCAAACAATCACAATTATAACAACAACAACAATCGATCCGTATTATTTTCTTCATTGAGCACTTTCAGCTTAATCAGCCGATGGCATCACCTTCAGTCTCTCGAAAGCGGCCTTCTCCAGTTCAGCACGATGGTTTGGATGTGCGATCTTGATCAACTCATAGGCTCGTTGACGCATGTTCTTGCCCCACAACTGTGCAATACCGTATTCGGTAACCACATAGTGAACATGACCACGTGAAGTCACCACACCGGCACCCTAAAATACAAACTCCAAATGATGACCAAAAGGCTTGATGTGACTAAAGATCAATTTTCCTGATCAGAAAAGCAGATAGCTGTTAAGAATGTTGAGAAGGAAGCGAACAGCTGACTGACCTGGTTAATATATGGAACAATCTTGGAGATTCCCTTCTTGGTGGCTGCCGGCAGAGCGATGATTGGCTTACCAAGGCCATCGTCACCGATCGCCGCGCCTCGAATGAAGTCAACCTGACCGCCGAAACCGGAAAGGAATCGTTCGCCAACCGAATCCGCAACTACTGAAAACGATTCATCATTACTGCATGATCTATCGTGATTTATTACTACTATCCCATAAGAGTCGCCTATTTCATAGTGATTTGATATTGATTTCAGAGAATTTGGCATAAAACTAGGGAAATGTTCACGATGATAACAGAATCCATCAACTGGATTTTAAATCTTGCTTCAGTAGCAAGGTTAGGACAACACGATATAACTGATATGAATGTTGGTACTTACGAATCTCTCAAAACACTATCAAGAACATTTGTTCCTATTCTCAATCTTAG